ACAAAACTATGACTTGGGTACTTCAGTATATGATTATATCGTTTTATAATGTTTTTCTGCAACATAGTCAAACGTGTTGCAAAAATTAAAAAAAAAGAAAACACCAACAGAGGGCAGCATCCTTTTAAAGACCCCACATATCACACGAGGTGCACAATTTTAGGATAACGTCACAAGAATACTGGAAACCGAACCTTTAAATTAACACGTCTTTCGTCGACTGATTTAATAAGAGACTTGATTTACTGAGACGTTTTTGGTTAATTTTAAAAACTGGAACGGAGAATGTTTGTTCGTACTTTTCCCGCTTCTGTCATTTTCTTTTTTTTTTCCTTCCAACAGGCAGAAGACGGCGGTTTTGATAACCAGACAACTAATGTCAAGAGTAGACCTCAGAGAGTCATTAGGGATAATGTGCCAGTGCCAAGTGCCTGGAACTCTGCTTCATAAAAACAGGTGGTCCCAGGGTCAGTCCTCCTCCTCCTCCTCCTCCTCCCCCCTCCTCTATTCCCTTCAATTTCCCTACTTAGCATTTTTTTCTCTCTCTCTCCAGTCTTCCTCTCTGCCATTCCCTGAGCACACACGGGAAAGGTTATTTGGACAATTGGCGGTGATTAGCTCTTGATTTGGCTCGCTCTGTTCGTTTGATCAGACTGTGGCACCGAGGCAAAAGCCAGAACGAATGAGGGTGCAGCTGTGACTTGGCCACAGCTTAAATTGGGCGAGGAGACCAGAAGAAAAAGAAGAAGAAGGAGGAGGAAAAAAAAAAAAATCAGATGAGAAGGAGGTAAGGCTGAGAAGGGGGAGAGAGGGAGGGGTCGAAGCTGAGGGTTGAGGACCTCCAGGGCCCTTCTCCTCCTCCTCCTCCTCAGCAGTCTGAGTTATGAATTCACCCTGCTGCACTGTGTGTCCCTGTTATTCCAGTTGTGGACCCTCGTAAAATATATACGCTCTCCTTCCTCCGTCCTTACTCTAAACAGTTTGTCCAACAACCTGCGTCTCTTTTCTCTGTGGCTCCCTCGGGTGTTGGATCGCTAAAAGCAAAAATGTGGACGCTGCCTAATACCTGGCTGGTAACGGCCTATAAAAGCAGCTTTGACCAGAAGACTTCAGTCTGGTTCTGGTTTTGTTGGCGCGGCCTGATGTTCTGGCTTCATGGATCTTTGACTTGGATCAGTTCACTGTTGGGTTTGGTGCTGATGCACGGCCTGAACCTGGCTGCCCGGGCCAAGGAATTTTTCTCACAGTACTGTCTGTTCTGTCCTTTTTCCACCTATCCCAGCATCCATCCGTCCGTCCATCCATCCCACCATCCATCCATCCATCCATCCGTCTCCTCAGACAGCTTGCCAGGCGTGTAGGACGGCCTCTCACTATCTGGGTGTGGGGCCAACAAATCCCCACCTCCCCCTTTTGGACTCCTCTCCTCACCCATATATCAGGCTGACGGCCGCGGGGAATCCGACATCTAGCCAGCTGAACAAAACAGAGATTAAGCACCGACCCCAAACTATTTAATTACTCATTCAACCGCTCCCCGCATGTAACGCCAACTGCAGTGAGAACTTTGTGCCACTTCAGACTTTACTCTTGCGCACGGCGCCCGTGGGGAAGTTAAATGAGGTGGCTGAACATTAGAAAAATGGCATCCTTGGTTACGAGGGTGTGCACCTTCTGAACATTTGCAATATTACGGGGAGTTACCCAAGTTTAAAAGTACAGCTAGCATCGCCAAAGAGCACAACGACGACTCCAAAAACAACAGCACAGTAAAAAGTGAATGTGTGTCTCGTTTGACATTATTTGTTAATAGGATAATGACACGACAGCCCAGCAGGTGGCTCTTTATGCGTGTAATAAAAATCTTATAGAAATGTGTGTCTCTATTGCAAAAGGTGCGATAATGTTTTTATGGTGTTTGTTTGTTGGAATCAGCAGTGATATATGTCATGATAGAGGGTTAGCATCGACCAGGCTAAACTAAACTGAATACATGTGATCAGCCAATCACATGACTGTATCTCGTGTATGAAGACAATGCAGACCTGCTGAGGTTTAACTATTTATAACATTGTATGGTTGTTTTTATCAAAGCATTTTAACTAAAATTATTCAAAAACTTCTACCATCGACAGGTGGAAACACCAAACTCAACTGCACCGTTGTCGGGTAAAACAAGACATTTGAACATGACCGGCAGCGTCCAATCAGACGACAGAAGTGAAAATATCACAGTGACACTTTTACTAATCTCTGTCTCGGTTCCTTATAAGGTTCTAAGTGAAGGAGAACAGGTCAAACCACTGAACCAGCTAATGTCAAAGTGAAGGAGAACAGGTCAAACCACTGGACCAGCTAATGTCCAACTCCCTGACTTTTCATTTTTCCCAAACTTAGTGAACGTTTATGTTTAACACAGAGTCTCTGTGGGAGAGCTGGTGGGCTGAGAGCCAGAGGAGACGGCGCTGAGCACCAGAGGGGGGAGGGATCGGGGGCGGGGTGGTATTGGCATCTGAGAATAAAAAGTGAAGAAGGCCCAGGGTGCTGCAGACTGCACAACAGTTCCATGACCTTTCCCTGAATGCTGCCACCCCCGCCAGCCGCTGAAACACAGCATGGCTAATTAAAGTTTCAGTGGCACTGGATTTTCAGCTGGCACACCTCAAGCAACCTACGGGGCTGTTGTACCGGCAATACACACAGAGGCATGGGGGGGGTTGAGTAGAGGGAAAACGATAGGTTTGAGCCCAGAGGAGGTTGAAAACGGGGACGTCCCACAGAAGATCTTAACTCAGTTTGAAGAAAAGTTTGTCACAGAAAATATAGGAATGTAAATTGGAAGTAAAAAAATATGTCTTTCAATGCAGTGGTAAATATAAAAATAAAGTTAGAGAAATAAATTATTAAAAGAATTGCCCAACACTAGACGATGGAGTGAATGAGACAAAGCAGGAGACACACGGTGTCAAAACGCTGAGTGCTTTTCCAAAGCCTATCAGTTCTGCCTCTCAGGCTAATGGAATTCCGATGAGTCAGTATCAGGACTAAAGCATGACTTCTGACATGGTAACTGGGAACATTAGCAAAGATGCTGGACATCGTGTTCCCGTCTCTGAAGGATCGTTGAATTATTGGCTGTGTTTGACCAGGAAATTTCTGAAAAAACAGCCAAGGAAGGAGTTATGAAAGCAGGAGGACTGGCTCAGGGTCGGAGTTTCACAATCTGACGATGACCCTCGCCTCCGTTTAATGCAGTGAGGAAGTGAAATCTGAATAAAGACAGAGAGTGAATAAAGACAGAGAGAAAGAAAGAAAGGTGACATTAAGAGAGAAAGAAAGAAAGAAAGAAAGGTGACATTGATGGAAGAAAGAACAGGAAGGAAGGATGGAACGAAGGAAGAAGGGGGAAAAAGAAAAAATTCAATGTCAGAACAAAGGCGTAGAAGGCCAGATCATAGGAATGAGGTTTAAAGGAAGCAAGGATGGAAGGAAGAAAAGGAGGGTGTGAAGTCTAAAAAAGATAGAAACAATAAAAAAACACTTATATAGGTAGAAAAAAACAGAAAGAGGGAAAAAAGGAAAGTGAGATGAAAAGGATGGAATGATGGAAAGAAAGAAGAAAGGAATGAAGGAAGAAAAGAAAAAAGAAAGAGCCTGTTAGTGTGTGTTAAAGCCTGATGAGGTCTTGGTCTGGGATTCCTGGGGGAGGTGGTCCAATCTAAGCTTATTAAACTCTCTCTGTGTGTGTGTGTGTGTGTGCTTTCTCTCAATCAACAACATTCGACATATTTTTTTCTTTTTCGTTTTTTTACGACTTCTCCCCATGTGTCTGTAGAAAACAACGAGTTGCGAGCAGTTTAATGGGGTGTGTGAGGTTTTAAACATTTCTTGTGTGTGTGTGTGTGTGTGCGTGTGTGTGAGGCAAGGGTTTGGGTTTGATCAGTTTGGCATTTAGGAGCTTTAATTAGCCATGAGTTTCTACCTGTCACTGAGATCACAAACGTGGAGCCTGAGCCGACATTAGACAATTCATGACAAATACACACGTAGTAGAGGTGTGTACTATCTATACGGAGTCTTTACCAAAAAGTATTTCATAATAAGAGGCAGTTTGAAAACAGATTTGAATCATTTAAAAATCCAAACGGCCAAACTTTGTTGGGGAAAAAATCGTAGAGAAAAGCTAACAGGCTAGCTAACGCTGAACGCTGAAAAATGTCACGGTCAAAACAGGAGTTGAACCAAGAGAGCTCTGAGACCAGAGTTGACCGCTGCACCACCTTCCTCACCCGTGGAGATACAATAGAATACTGTGAATTCCTTTTCCTGTTTCCAGAAGCAAATATTTTCTCTTCCTTCTCTTCAAGCACAGCATCATCTGCACAAACTGTCTCCTGTGTTCCCAGGCTGTCAGCTATTTATTCAGTGAGTTATTGAAATATGATCTTGTCAGAGAAAAAAATAATAATAATCTCCCTGTTGGGCTGAATTGGACTTCAATGGAAGTTCTTTTTTTTTCCCCTTTTCTATATTAAACATCTTTATCTTTTCTCCGGCTGAAAGATCGTCTCCATTAGGAGCGTTTAAAGATGACGGCTGGAACTGAAATACTGCACATCTGAATATTTACCACACAGCTGACGTACTGTCCTATACACCGTGTCGACCTAGTGACAGGTTGGTTGATCACTGACGGATGAACGTTTGTGTCTAATGACATTAACACACAGTCAACTGGAAAAACCAACAGGGAAAAATCGAAAGTTTCCACAAGACGTTTGTTTAAGTTCCACTGACGTGTGAGTCGACTAATGGAGTAAAAAAAAAACTGTGTTTTATGTCCTCTTGTGTACCGTACTCTGATGAGAACCATGCATTGGTCCACTGTGCCACATAAAAGTGGAGGAAATCCAGTCCTCGGGTCCAAAACTTCCCAAGTGTTCCTGACATTCCTGACAGTTCCAGCCCTGTACTCAACAGTAATGGTTCGCAGTACTCACGGTTGGCAGAGTTTGATGAGGTCCTGGTCGGTGGTCCCAGGTGGTAGGCCTCTGATATAAAGGTTGGTCTTACTCAGCTGCTCCGCCCCTCCCTGGCTGCAGCTGTTGGTGCTCGGGCTGGGAGGAGCCATTGGATGAGGGGGTGGAGCATAGGGCTGCTGGGAAAGAGAAGGAGGAGAAAGAATGGTTCAACTTTTCGCTTTATACACAAAGATTCACACTGGACAAAGTTTGGAGTACTCCAGGACTGGTACTGAAGTAAACCGGCTTAAGAAAGTTCTACTCTGTAGAACAAGTGTCTGGTGTCAAAGCTCTGCTCACTTTCTGGTCACGTGGTCGTATTAGTTCTGCAGAAACCTTCATATTTTATTATGTCATTAATAATATGTTGATATATTTTCTAATGTGAGAACAGGATCAGTTTGGGCGTCGAAATATTTTTCTTCCTTCTGGATTGAAAACCCGTGTGGTCATGAGAAGTAATTACAACTTACATCACTGTCTATTTATTGAACCCTAACCTGGAGAAGTATCAGTGACAGTACTGGGTACTCTACTCATATAGACTGTACTCATATAGGTGTGTGTGTGTGTATGAAAAACATTGTATCAAAGTTTTTCCATTTTTAATGAGAAATGTCATCAATGTTTTAGCGCCACCTCTGGAGCACAAACAACACCAAACAGGTTTAATTTAGTGAGTGACAGTGATAAGTGAGAGTTAGGAGCACGGAGGTGAAGGTGAGTAAATAAGAGCCGGCAATTCTACGACAACACGAGACAACATGAGAGGAAGAGGGGGGGCAGGAGGGGGAGGGTATTTCTTTTCAAGGAACAAATATAAAACAAATATCTTGCGTCAATCGCAAGAAATATTCCTGGAATTTCGGTGAAAGTGTCTTTGGTTTTTTCCCTCCTCCTCCTCCGTCTCTTCGTCTTCTTTCCTACTACCAAGCCTAAGTAAAGCGTCCACCAGGGGGAATCTGTGAAATTAGGGTTCAGAAGGCTTCCAGCAGCTTATAAACACTTTTAAACGACGGCAACTTCCTGCTTACTATTCATACCCTCAAAACCAATTTCATTTCACTATAAAACAATTTACACCTCCGAGGGTGAGATATCGTGATGTGGTAATTCTGCTCAGCCGATTTCATAAACATCTCAATATGGATGTGTGTTTTTTCTACATATCATCTTTATTATGAATATATTCAACTCCCTCACTCACTCCCTCACTCACTCCCTCACTCCCTCACTCACTCACTCCCTCACTCACTCCCTCACTCACTCACTCCCTCACCCCCCCACCCCCCCACCCCCACTGCTCATGTGTCAGCTGTGCTGTTAGTGTGGAATTATGGTATGGAGTCAGGGCCCCCTGCTCACAGCCCATTTATATCTCTATTGCAGGGACACTGCACACAGTGACAGAACGGGTGAACCACAGCCCTGCAGGCAGGAGCGGGAAAATATATATTGAGAGAGAGAGAGAGAGAGAGGGTAAAAGGAAAAGGAGGAGAGACTGGGGGGGGGGGGGGGGGGGTAAAGAGGGAGGAAAGGGAGATGTTTGATTCAGTGACGGATCATAGAAAGAATTCAAAAACGCTCAGGGTGAGAGGGCGAGGTGAATAAATTCAACTGACTCCAGTTCAGCGTGAACCCTTCAATCACTCCCCAGAAAACTGAGACCGCCAACTCTGCGGCACGCACGGCGTCGGGGGGTCGCCCGTCCTGTGCTACGTGTTAGCACCGCGGCTGATTTGATGCACTATTTTAAGCCAGTGTGCCATGCCTTCCTCCTCCGTCACAAAGAGCCGGGGGTCCCTGGAGGATGAAGGAGGTGGGGGAGGGGGGCGCGTCCATCTATGGTCGGCTAATTACCACGCTGAGTGGAGTGGAACTGATGGGCGAACACACACACACACACACACACACACACTGGGCACGGCTGTGTAAACACACCTGATGACACAGAACCAGTATTCTATTACACAGAGTGGGAGTCCGACCCAGGTCCAGTCAAGGTCGGGTTTTCACACCTCTGAAGAAACCAGACCGTTGTGTCCCAACGATGAAGAAAACACAACATATTAGGAACAAATATTATTAAAAAAAATAAAAAAATAGAAGATAGAAAATTAGCAACACTGAAATGCTAAATCCGATGGTTTCCAAAAGTATGAGGCGTGTGTTTCACCGGGGGGCGCAAGAGCTCATCAAGGGAGGTAGAAAAATGAGGAAAAAGAAACGGGCAAGGGAAAACCTCTGAATTAGCTAACCTACTTAAAAATATATACACATATATTTTGTACAGTACATTCTATTACTGTGAGAAAACAGAGGAAGAAGGAAGATTATATAAAATTAACATTTTATTGACCAGTGATTTGATCCTTGGAGGAAGAAGCGCGATGTTAAATACTTTAGTTTACTGAATATAAAAAGAAGAGACTTAAAAACAAAAGTTTATTTCATAAATATATCTTCTGTGGTCGTACTGTACTGTACTGTACTTTACTGTACTGTGTGTGCAGGACCACAACCATGCTCTAACCCAGGGGTCCCCAATCCCTGGTCAGGGGACCGCTGCTGGTCCGCAGGTCATTTGGGAACATAGTGGAAAAAATGTACTTCAGTTTTGCTGATTTACTTCCTTCAAAAAGAATCCAGTCATATCCCTTAACTTTGTCCGTTAAAAGATAATCTGTCATGTGTTTCAGAACAACAGGTCAAAGGTCATTCAGTCTCTGATACCAAAAGAATAAAGTCTAAAAGATGTTTTATTTTGAAAATGTAATGATCCTTCCAGGAAGGCGTGGTGTTACTGGACCGCCGCTCTAACCAGGTCTCAAAGTCAAAGGTCAAACTCCCATCGAACAAAAAGCTTCAATTAAACCAACATCATTGGTCTTTGAATTGTGGGAGGAAGTCAGAACTGCCCCCCCCCCGGCCTCCCCCGACTCCTCCAGTACTAGACACTTGTACAGAACCCATACAAACACAGGACATGAAAGAATCCAACCCACTTGACTTGGCTCCAGTACCACACCATTCAAACTGGGGTTCAGAACCCAGACCCCCCCACTCCCCCACTGTGACACTCAAGTGTTGAACTTCCTGTCCTCATCGCTGAAACACACCCAAAACCCAATCTAATCTAATTCTGGTAGCCCCGGGTTTCAACGTCCGGAACGAAATAAGTGGAGAAGGTCGGAGGTCGGCAGCAGAACAGAGGAATCTTAATCCTCCGGAGTTCTCCACGGAACTTTCTTTCTCCCACTCTGAGTCACAGGAACAGGCACAGCTGCGGATCAGGCCTAGACTTTGAGGCTTTCACCTCACCTCCCCCCCCCCCCCCCCCCCCTCCACTCTGCCTCACAATGACACACATACTTAACATAGTGTTTGACACAGAACAAACTCCACTGTGCAAACAGGAGGCGCTGCAGCGAGCCACCGTCAGCGCTGAAGGTTAATTGAAATCCTCGCTCTCCTTTCACAGGCCGTCTTTTTTCTTTAAGCTCCTCAGTAATATTCACAATCCTCCTCTTTATCCCCCTCCTCCTCCTCCTCCTCTTCCTCCTCCCTCAGCTCCCGACTTGGCTTCTATCCTGAGCTTTGGAATTCATGTGTCCTACCCTATTGATTTGCTTTCTTTCTTTCTTCCTTTCTTTTTTTTTTTCTTCCGTTAAGGTCAGAAGCTCAGATCTTACACAGAGAGGTCATCAGGGTCAAAAACTCCTCATTACCTACAGTGTTGGTCCAGAGGTCAAAGGTTGAAGTTCTTCATCAAGAGAAAAAAAAAAGATCCTAAAGAGTCTCCAGGGATGAAGGATGGAGTGGGTGCTGTAGGTCTCGTCCCACGTCTGAAGGGAGTGGGTTTTCATTTTTCCACATTCTTCTATTGTTCTTCATAAATTAGAGCAGTGTTTGTGTTTTGTACAGCTGCAGTCGAGAAGATCGGAATCAAATCACAAACCATAGTCAATCGTCTGTATGAATGATCCAATCAACTGTTAGCCTGTTGTGGTTCCATTCATTAAAGTAAACTTCGCTCTGAAGGTTATACAGTGGAGGAGTCACTCTCAAGATTCTGTTTCAGAAAATTCAAATCCCAACTTTTCCAGTCATTTACTGTCGAGTCACAGACACCGACTCTTGGCTAATTCATATTTTTTGTTTTATTTCTCTTTACTTTTCACTTTTTTACTTTTGAACCAAACTTTCTGCCTCCCTCCAGTCGCCCCCTCAGAGTGCTAACGTCTGAGCTTATTTATCTTCCCGACTTTCTGGTTTCTGGGCCCCTCAGCTCGACCGACTGTAATATCCGGCTTCTCAAATATACGATAAATACAGGCCTGCTGTCAGAATGATGAGGATCTGATGTAGCACTTGACAAAAGTTCAATTTGGTGACAGAGGAGACTGGAACTGACGGAGGAAGGGAGGAAAGAATAACAAGAACAAGAAGAAGAAGAAGAAGAAGAAGAAGAGAAAAAGAAGAGGAAGAAGTGCACACACGTCTCGTCCTGCATTTTCTTCAAGAAAAAAGAAATCTAAAAAAAATATTCACTTTCACGTTTCAAGAAAAAAGAAATCTAAAAAAAATAAATTAAATAAAAAAATTCACTTTCACGTTTAGCTACAGCTGCAGCTTTTTTAAAAAAAAATTAGATTTCATTATTTTAAACGGTCATAACTGAAACATATCCAAGGCTTCACAAACAGTTACTGTGTAATGGGTCGGTTGCACGCGTTCAGATTCCACACCGTGCGTTTGGCTTCTTAGCCGGTAGCACCTGCTAAGTCAGGCTACTAATTCTCCCCCAGTTAAATATACCCCCAGATCAGTGGTCACCTGCTCAGATATAAAAACAGAGTTCCATTGGAGTAAACAGTGTTTGGAAAACACAGAGAAGCCAGGCCAGTAATTGGAACAAGGGCAGAGCTGTGGCTTTGCTGCCTCGCTCACACACACTCCCTGCCCTCTGCAGGGCAGAGCGGTGACTGGAGGGGGGCAAGGGTGGTTGGAGGGGCT